TGAAATTTCACAAATCAAAATGCCCTACAACCCTGGACCTAAAACGACTAGAGCCAATATTTATGAAAATCAGTTATAGCAACATTTACAATAGGGTTTAATACGATAGAATATTTTCATCGCATTTAGTTATCTAGGTTCATGTCAATTTTATAGTTTATTCATTTATAATTTTAATACATACTTCCATGATCTAATGTAAATCTGTTTATGTTGATATTAAACCTAGTTTAATGTTCGTGACACCAGCATTAACTACTGCTAATAAAATGGGCCTCATTGTGAAGTGTTCTCACGACTAAAAACATATGTACGCTGAATAAACTAGCTCTTGTCTGACTGAAAGCTCCTTAATCCGTGTATCATTCGATCATTCGTTTTTTGATTTAATATTGAAAGTAGAAAAATTAGAAAACGGCTCCTTTTTGTTTTTTAATTTTTATCCAAAAAACGAAAAACAAGAATTCAGCTTAAATTTTCTTTTTTCTTCATGGGTGGAAAAATGAATAAACAGTTTGAATATTCGATTTCTACATGTGGGCGGGAATTAAACACCCCTTTCTGCTGATTGGTCAGCCGAAGATCAAACCGTGCCTTCATCAGTTCTTCCACAGTATCACGCAGCAGAATAATAGTCCTCCATTGCTGCAGTTGTATGGATTCTTAAGGCATTTATTGCAACTACATGTCATCTTTTTTCATCAAACAAACAGGCTAATTAATAGCTGGACACAACTCATACTGGGGCAGAGTCTAGACAGGGCTTTCTTCTGTGTAGATATAAATTCTATTCTTTGCATCAGCTGGGGATGGCAGGGTATAATACGACAGCTGTCTTAGCCTACCCTGCTCACCCAGTAAGTCTGTTTGTTTGTTTAATTAAGAAATTAATTTGTTTCAAAATAAATATTTTAAACACTAAGACAAAAAGGAAGGGATAATAAATTGGCTTGGGTATATACAGTATATATAGGCCTATAATGTTCATGCAAGAACTGTCATTCTGACTGACAACTGGAGAACAGCAGATATTAGCCTACTGTTAGTTATATAACGTAGTCTTGTGTTTTATTAAAATTTATATCTCAAAAGGATATGCACTTGTGTGCAGCGTGAGCTGCTGCGCACTCAAACTGCAATGCAAGAGTTTCATAAAATATAATAACTTGCCATTTCAGTTTGTTTCTCACCAAACCCTCAGAATACATTCAGAATGCACAGGAAATAAGCAGCAGTCATATTTAAAGCAGTTTAAATTAATATTGAGT